GGGGGGGGGTGTTGCTGCATCTCTTCTCACCCATGGGGAATATTGGCCAATAATCTATAGATATACATAAGTGATTTTTCCAGATAACCAATGCTTGCCCCCTTTTAAACAACTATTATTATTATGTAATTCTGAATTTAATGTTATATATAAAACTATACCTTCTATATATATAGTTTAAAAAAGCACATAAAATAATACTCAGGAAAAGCAGTCATTCTAGATATATAAAACTAGTTTCTGGTAGATAAAAAAGTTACATTTTAAAAAAGATAACCATAATTTCACAAGAATTCAGCATTAGATGATACGCTTGCCTTCTTCACAATCCTATTAGTTTCTGCTTCAAGGTTTGACCTTGGAGATCAGGTCTCAATTGAAGTCCCCTTTCTCATGACTCTTATGTGAGGTCTCTCTCAAGACAACTAGCAGAGCTTTACCTCCAAGGATAATAGGCTGGAGGTGGGGGCTTAGCCAGTGCATTAAAGCAATTAAACAGACCAGTGAGGAGTGAGAGGAACTACCTCTGCATTTCTGTGTGCGCGCGTGTGTGCGCGTTTCTTGAGAAGGTGAAAGTAGGATAGATTTGCAATAGGTTTTTTTTCTTCTAACTAATTTGTGTCAAGCTACTCCTCACAGCTATAGACAGGAAGTGCTATTTCCTGTGCTGATGATTTAATATAGTGCAGAGCAAAGCAGCGTTTGAACTGATGGCAGCACTAATGACTCTTGGTAAAACAGTGAAAAGATAAATGATCCTTAATCAGGAAAATGTTTAAATAAGCAAGTGCCTGGATATACCACACAAAACAACCTGAATTCATTTAAGTAAAGTTAAGAGGGTAATTTTTTAAATACACAGACTATTTGTTTAGTACTTTCTATTTTTCTAAATGCCTTACGGCCACATTTATTATAATCTCTGACAGCTCTGTGAGGTACCTTGGTGTTCTTACTGTAGCTTTAGAAGTGACTGACTTCAACTCAGACGGGCAAAATGATTTGCTTCAGGTCACGCAGCAGGCCACTGGTCAAGCTCAAGAATAAAACTCAGTTTCCACATTCCCGATTTATTGCTTACCTGCTGGCTGATACTCCAAAGCATCCTGCTAACCTTGTTTGAATGCACGAAACGTGTATGAAGATAAAGGAAGTTAAAAACAAGATTGTTCACGTGAGTGCTTGAGGTTGCTTACAGTCAAGGAACGCAGGGATCACGGACAATGAATGGACTGTCACATTTAGAAATAAAATTTTGAAATAAATCTTGGAATATGGATAAGGGCTATTTATAGTTCTTAAATAGGCAGCCATATTACTTTCTGACGATTATATTTTTTTACAGTACTTTCATATATACTATCTTCTGGAACAAATGATTCTACATATGGAGGAAACAGACACATAGAAGTTAAGCGACCCGACTTAGGTCAGCAGGGTCTGTCGTAGAACAAGGTTGTAGAACCTGGTTTCTCCTGAATTCTGCTTTGGGGCTCTTTTCACTACTTTGCCATCTAATTTTTATTTCTTACAAGCAATGCTCATAATATATCCTTGGTTTAAATAAAAATATGTACTTAGAAGATAACTAGGAATAAAACTGTTGGTGTCTCACTTGTCAAGATTCAGAAAAGCCTGCTATAAAACACCTCATTATAACCTATCTTATCTAAAAGACAATTTCTCAAACATTAAATAACTTGTGGTATTATTTGTACTTTTAAAAGTTAACTACCAAAAGAATTAAACCAGACCACCTAATTAAAGTATCATATCCTGACTACTATAAATAACCTTAAAAAGGGGGAGATTCTAGACAATATGGATCCATTGTTGGTTAGTCTAGCAGAGATCTGACATTATATCATCCTTACTTTAGAAAAGCAAAGTTCACTGACTTTTTGTCCAAGGGGATAAAGCAAGAAGCCCTTTCCTAGGTTAAATAGCACCCCATAGGTTTTAGAAGCTGAAAAGAATCAATATTAACATATTGCGTGTGCGTGCGTGCGTGTGTGTGTGTGTGTGTGTGTGTGTGTGTGTGTGTTTGTATAGGAACAAATATATCCTTTGTCTTTAATCTCAAGGTCTAGGAGTCAGGGTACATGGTTTTATTGCTGGCTTTGCAATTAATGTATACCATGACCATGACCATGATGTTTTTGCTGTACTTTATTGTGAGCAAATTCACACCCTTCTAGAAGAGAGCCAAATGGCAATACCTCAGTACTATAGCTAGAAGTTTTAAGTTTCATTTCCTGAATTCTCTTTCACTTGTCAGTCACTTACCACTTGTAATGGAAAATGATGAACCTGGTAATAGGTATATCATCTACTCAGAAAATATCACAAAAATTCTGAAGAGAATTGCGTGCAATTTCCACACTAGGATGGGTTAGAAATTAAAGGGAGATAGTCTATAATCACTTACGTTATTGATCATAAGGTGCATTATCGTTTTTGGAATTAGATCTCGGATGCATTTGTTGATAATAGACATATAGGAGTCTACGAGGTTGCGAATGGTCTCCACTTGTCTCTCCAATTGTGGGTCCATGGAAAAGTTTTCTGCTTGGCCATTCTCATCATTTTCAGTCTAACAGAAAAGAAACAAAACATGGATTATCTCATATCCACTCAGAAGAAAATAAAATACCACACATTATCAGATGATCAACTTCTGCTTCACCTTTGGAGTTTATACTACTAGATGGTAACATCTTTTATCTTATCTCCAACCCATTAGTTCTGAAAAGAGATCGGAGCCCTGCAGTTATTATTCTACTTTTGGACTGCAACACTCTAGGAAAAACAAGAATTCTAATTCTGAATGAATGTTGAGATGAATAACCAAATAAACAGTGTACCTAACAACGTACCTCTAGAGAACAATATAATCTTAAACCATTTGCAAGCTGGCCAAAGAACTGAATCCAAATATATGATGCAGATGTAAACCTCTGGGAGGAGTCTCAGGGGATTCTAGAGATTAGAAATAACCTTGGTGTTTCTCTGGCACATCCACATCTGCTCTGGAATGGATCAACATTTGGATCAACCCATATTCAAAGCTAAATTTCTGAGGCTGGCCTGAAGCCAAATAAGAGATATAGACAATAATTTATTCTTCCATGAACTTGCTGGAATTTCTTATGTAAATTCATGCTTCTGTCATCACTACTAAAGGCTGGCTCCATTGTGAAAAACTTGTAATTTTAACTTCCAACTTGTTATTCTTTGAATAAAACAGAACACATCCATACACAAAGAATTTATGTGTACAACACGAGAGAAGCATCTGTTTTCTATGCTATGGAACTTGAGTTAATTAATTTTGGCTTATCCACCAGAGGCTGGGTTGGAATGGCATCTTCATCATTAAGGGCTGACCTATTGGCTTGGCATTGAAATCAATTTAGAACAAATGGTCTCCATTTCAAGTCAGGTTGAACCATCTAAACCCTAGAACATGCTACAGATATTGTTAGTGGTCTGGCTACTTTCTAGCATTTGGAAAGACTTAATTATGAATGTAAAAGGGAGAAATAATTTATTGCTTCCAATGTGGACATGAAGTACTTTTCTTTGGAAATGTACATACTTTGATCTGCCAGGTTTTCAATCTTTCAATCAGTTCTAGGCAAAGCACTGTGCTAAATAGCTCAACTGGATCTATAAATGACAAGCCTCTCCTTTGAACCAATATGCATGTGCGAAAGGCATATTGATTGATAACCAAGGTAGAAATTGGTTCTAATCATTTATATAGCCTTCTCTCAATCGGAAATACCTTATGTTTAAAAAAACACTTCAAAATAATATACACTCAATTCATTTCCCAATCCTGAGAGTATGACCCCATGTACGAGAATATTTCTGAGGCATCTTACTGCTACAACAGCAAGCTAGTTGATTGCAAGTTTCAGAAATGACAGTTGTTCCCCTATACTGTTTCTCTTAAAATGGTTTTTGGTCACTGAAAAAAGGAATTTAATAAAATCTTATGCAATTCTTTATTTTTATTATTAGTTTGTGATGCAGGCACAACAGGAGCTGGGATAAATAGATAACAGGCTAAGGCCACACAGTGGTAAAATGATAGTGCAAAGGTCAGCCAGCCATAGCAGCGAAAAAACAATCATGTTTCCAGACTTCTTTCTGGGGCATAAAAACCACTCTAAATCTGCAAATGCATTCTACACTGCACCAAAATTCAGAGAGTCAGTGGTAATTGCTATGCTGTTATAGAGATACTGTATTTGAACGTTAAACTTTAGGTTCAAATTCAGGCTCTATCATACTGGTTGTGCGACCACACTTTGGTTTCCTAATGCGACTGAGACTCAGATTCTTCATCTTTAAAATGGGGATATGCTTACCTGGAAAACCTGTGGCAGCTAAATGAGATGATGTATACGAAACGACCTAGCAGAGGACCTCAGGGGTACTCAACAAACGTTAATTTCTTTCCTTCCTTTCTGAATATTCATGGAATACAAGACAGTTGCTTGACTCTCAACACACATTATGAAAATTTAAGATGAAAAATTTGAACATAAAACGTTTTCAACTTAAGCAATATAAAAATGCCCAACTGTGTGTGTATATATATAAAAACGTATATACAGGGATGTATGAGTGTGTGTATATGCACACACACGCACGCACACACACACACACACACACACACATCTCTCCATGTTTTCTGCAAGCTATTCCCCTTGCCTGGAACCCCCTCTTCCCACCACTCTTTGCCCACCCGCGAAGGCCTCTCCTCTTTCACAGCCCTGCGCCACCATCCACTCTCCTGGACAAGCTCCTGATGGCCATCGGACCCTCCACCACCCCTCCTTCTACACTTCAACTGTGCTTGTGCTCACTCATTTAACATCCAGCTTAGTTTTATGCTCCTCTCTCTACTAGACTCCAGGATCTTGTTTATCTCTCCTTTTCAGCACCTAGCACAGAGCCGGGTGCACGGGAGGAGGAGTTAATACTGGGTTTACCAAAGTCAAGGAAGCCATCCCAGTGCATTTCAGGGTCTCCGGGAATGTCTACTTGTTGGAGAAAACCGGGGACTAGAGAAACCCCAAGTTGATGAGTTAGGATCTACTACTACTTGATAATGAGGATGATAAAATGATTATGGAATTAATGTGTATAAATGAGAACAGACAACCTACAGCTTTGTGGAGAAAACATCTGTAAAAAGCAATATAAACCTTCGATTTGAATACAGTACAATTCAGTTTCTCTCTGGTCTAAAATATTTTTGGATTTTGCTATTGTATTTATCAGTAGGAGGTGATGGCATTTCAGAATCAACCTACTATTTACCTCCTCCCAGGAGCATTTATTGAGCTCTTACTGTGTTCCAGTTAAAGTGCTAAGCACTTTATACAGAAGATCTGTACCACAACCTTAGGACATGGTTATTGTCAACCTACAGAAGAACATGTTGAGGCTCCAAGAGCTGAAATTTGTGCAATAAATAGAAGATGAATGTGATTTTAAACTAATTTCTTTTTTTGTTTAGGTATAAACAACTGAAAGTATTATGAAACAATGAAACATCAATAATATATCAAGTTAGTTTTATAGATAAAACAGTAAGTGTAAAGAAAATTTCTAGGAAAAAAATCTTTAAAGTACTGATATTTATAAAAAATTATTTAGCTAAAAGAGAAAGGCTGAATAAATAGCATATATTAAATGAACCTCCAGGAATATGAAATACCATGAAAATTATATCATCATCCACACTTTCATGTAGAAACACTGAATTTTCCCATTTTACACCATTCTTAACATTTAGCTTTGTTTTACATTTTTGCATATCAAAATATGCAAAAGACACTGACTTTCACTTTTGAAACCAGATGCAATTAAAAAGCAAAGTATCAGAGTGAATGGAAAACACTGGTTTAATTCTCAACGTTAAAAGAAAAACATAGAGGCATTCCAAAATAACCAGTAAAACAATTTGAAATTCTCTTTAGCTTTTGGAAACACTGATAGACACACGCTTGCATGCAAATCTTAACTATTCTGACAATATAGTGAACATGATGGGGAGTCATAGAATTCAGAATGCAAATTTGATTTCTTTCCTGATTTTAGATAGAAACAGTAATTGCCCCTGCTAGTATGTCTAAGATGAATGAGAAAAAATGTATATAGATGGAATTTTTCTTTTAACTGAGTAATTGCAGAGAGCAAACACTGCCTTTTCTCTAACCCCAGTTCTAACCAAATTCTCTATCGTGCTTTTTTCTGTATGTATACTGTGTATGACTATGTATTTTTTCTTTGTTTAAATTATAGGATTGCAGTAGGATTCTTTGCAGTCGAAGCACCGAAGTGACAGCTGTTTATCATTATCCTCATCAAGGGAATGTAAAATAAAAATAGTAATTTGTCTCTGATCTTTGAGGCAAAAAAGAATGGTCTGCAAACATTTAACCTTTTATGTGCAGGTTCAGTGATGCTGTTTACAAAATGTGAATAATATTGTCGAAATCAGCTTTCATCTGAAAAATACAATAGACAGGCCTTCCTATTGCAATTTTTTTCTAAATACCTTTTGAGAAATCTAATTCGATTTAGACAATAAAAAACCTAGCATTGTAAACTTGAAGTTGTTTATAAAAATTCCTATAACTTTCTTTCTTAAGAAATTATCTGCACATTATTTAAGAATCAGGTTGTTTTACAAAACTTTAATTTAAAAGCTTTCTCTTAAAGTCTTACTACTTTACCAGGTGAGGGAATTGAAGTGTTGAATTAGAAATTATTCTCACCAGACCTGGAAGCATCCATCACAGAAGCTCTTGGCTTGATTGGAATGTCTAGTTTTCATGTGGTTTGTTTTTATCTTTTCCCTTTCCTTAAATTTCTTATTTGATTATGTCATAGGTTTATCTAAGGACCATTGAAACCATCTAAATAAGGTTGGTGGCTTCAATTCTTTAAAAGCAGAATAATAGAAATGGAAAGTGTCCTGGCAGTATATAAACATAAAAATACCATAAGGCTAATGGGGGGGGGTGTTGCTGCATCTCTTCTCACCCATGGGGAATATTGGCCAATAATCTATAGATATACATAAGTGATTTTTCCAGATAACCAATGCTTGCCCCCTTTTAAACAACTATTATTATTATGTAATTCTCCACTACCTTAAACACAGAGTAAAAAATATTCTTTAACTTTTTCTTAGTGAATCAGTTCATCATTATGAAAACAGTGTTACCATGGTAATGCACCTTCAAATTTTCCAGCCCCACACCGAGAACGTTTTCACTGAAAATCTTTCTCCACTCTCAAACATTCACTTCTAATTTGATGAGGCCAGAAGGATATGGTTAGGGTGGTGTCGGTGCTCACCCCACCATCAAAAGGGATCTACAAATACTATGAGATAAAATATGTATTTTTCCAAATGGTACTAGGATGACCAAATGTAATCCCATGAGAAATGCCTTAGAGACATAAAACAATTCTTCATTATGTCGGTCATGATGAAGGCTCTTTTTGATTCAGAGTGATCCCTTTACTGCTGCTAATTCTGTAACATCAGGTTATCACAGTGTTTAT